CTGAAGATGCTTCATAGAATCAAACAGGTTGGAAAAGACCTTCAAAGTCTTTAAATGCTTTAAAGGGTTTCTTTGAAAAAGTATGATGTGCTTTTGATATGACCTGATCTAGAAATAGCAATATTCAGTGCTCATGTAACTTTACCTGTTTGGGTCTCTAAGCAAGATTAGTCAGCTCTGGTAGATTCTGAAAACGTCAGCAGGATGTCCTTGCCTGCTACCTCTCCTGACACTGGCAAATGGTCTCTCCATCTGCTAATATTGCATTCTTCTTCAATGCTTTCCAACTATTTCATAAAAATATTTTCTGATAAGTGACAGATAGTTGGTGTCCTGCTCTGTAAATCAATGGGACATAAACATGAAATGTCAGTAAGTCCATAACTGGTAATACAGAGAAGAAGACCATGAAAGTGTGTTTGTGAAGAGGTTCCCACTTTATGTAGTAAATTAAATCACAAAAATGTGTTACTGACCTATGTATTTCTACCAGTATTCATTGCTTGGTCATGAGAACTATTACAGAGCCTAGGGCCTGGAAAGCACTTCTGGGCTTGGAACAAAAGTTCCTCTTCTGGGCTTGGCATGGAACCTTCACAAAGGACTTGGTTTTAGAGATGATCCTCACTGTCATTTCTGTGTAAAAAAACCACTGCAGGCGAGTTTTAACACACTGCCCCCCAGCCAGGATGTGATCCTACTCATTCCATGCAGAGACGCAATGTCCCACTTCAGTGGGAAAGCATGGCAAGATCCGCTCTTTGGTGCCAGTGCTGGGGGGCCATCACATTTTCGAGGCGTTGCCTGGGGCACTTGAACACATTGAGGAATGTCTCCTTGCTCCTGCCCTCCCGACAAGTCCTTCACTTCTCAGCAGGTCCCTCGAGCCCCACTGATGTCCTCTCAGGGCTGCAGGGCTGGGGAGGATGGACATGAGAAGCCCACATCATGTTGATTTACACATAGGTGGGCTCGTGATCTCACCAGGGTGACTTTCAGAGCCCAGGGGCACTCCTACAATTGTTAATCCCAAATGCAAGTGGAAGGGAAAGCAGTAAATCCTGGCTTTAGTTTGCTTCATCTAGGGGGGATTTCCTCTGCAAAGACCTGAATCACACCTGGGTCCTCCCATACCCATACCCAGCTCTTTCTCTGTCTTCTTGTATAATTCTTCAGAAGAATTGTTTGTCTTGGTGCAATATCCCTGTCTGGTAACCTGGGATACTAGAAGGTTTTATGATGCTTTTAAAAACCTGGAAATGGCATTGTTTGGTCTGGGTTTTGTAAAGAAATCCTTTTGTTTGTTCTGCTGTAGCTTGGCTTGAGTTAAGGGAGATTTTATCGTAACTGTCTGGCCTTAAAGACAGATCACCTCTGTGTGTGGTGATCCCTATGTAGGCTGCAGTCTTGTAGGGTCTCCCACCCTGTGTTTCCCTGGGTAAGCTAAGGACTTGTGCTTCACATGCAGCTTCAGAGTGGGTATTGCAAGAGGTACTCTAATCACCTAGTAGTGAGCTGCGGGAAAGGCAATCAACCTGATGGCAAGTAGTGACGTTATAGTAGTTATGCATTTATCAGCGATAGGGCGTATTTTGCAGGTGGCATAAAACATAAATGAGATGAGTTAACACCAGGGCAGACTATCAGGAACTTCCGAAGGTCTGAGCCAAGCCAGATGAGCAGGGAGCTTGAGACAAAATGTGCCATCAATAAAACCAGAAGACTTACACCGAAGGCAACAACTGGAGCTACTCGGTTCACTTGACAGTAAACCAAACGCAGCGGCTCAGGAAAGGGATCAGATATCTGATTCCTGTTACTAGGTACCAGAAATCCAAAAAGCAAACAAGTGAGTGTAACAAATGTCAAAACCAGTCGAGGAAATACTTGTTCAGTGGCTGCAGAACTTAGCAGGGGTGTTCGTTACCATAATACATCATTGAGCTTCACATTCTGGAAAGCCACAAAATGAGGCTGCCTGTGTGTGACCTGCAAATAATGTAAATGTAGCTGCCGTGCTGAGGCTTTAATGAGCAAGGCCACATCAACAAAGGCTTTGCAGGGCAAGGTGAATTCCCAGTGGTTGTAGAAGGCAGGAGAGAAGGGGTGATTCAGCCCAACTGTGTGAAGCAATGAGTCCCCCAGAAACCTGCTCTCCCTTCCTGCCTGTGAACCACCAGACTTCCTTCCCTCTCTGCTCTCCAAGGTTTTATCGTGTGGTTTTCAGCCACATGAGGATTTTGGATGTGGCTCACAGCACTGAGAAAGAAATAGAAAGACGTGTCTGTGGCTAAAAAGGATAGTCAGATACTTGTAACAGCAAATGCTAAGAACTAAGCCTCCTAAAGCCTGCAAAGGAATAAATGCTTCATGGTTTTAGGTTTCAACTAAGTTTAAGGGAAAGAACTGAGACAAAGCTTTCTCCAGGTTCATGTTTTCCCATTGTTGGGTTTCTTGTGGCTCCTGGCAGTGATGGCCTGTTTTGGGGCCATCAAGTCTCTGAATCTGGTGCTGCCTGTGGTAGTACTGATGCTGCCGTGGCTCTGCCAGTTCCTCGTGCTCTAAAAAGCGTTTGTAGTGGTTGCACAGAATTCAACAGATGTGCAGAGCCCAGCAAAGAACGGTTCCAAAAATGCAACAAATAACAGAATTTATATCTTTTTGTATGTCTGTTTGAAAGAGCTATTTCCTAAATTAGCCTCTGAGCTCATAATGGCCAGTTAGCCTCCTGGGTTTCAAATCATCTCAGTATTAGATGGGAGCTGTGACACTGTAGGAGGTGTAAGTTGCTAACTACAGGATTATGAATTCCACAGTGCTCTGGAAGAGAAGCCCAGATTTGCTGACACAAACTCCAACTGTGGCTATTAGAGGGATCTGGTTACAGCAAACCTTACGGAGCAGGGACATCCTTTGTCCAGGGTAAACCTTCACATGAAGTGAGCTGTCATTGATTTGTCTTTCTGATGCAAATCATATGAGCCTATTAGATCCACAGAGATACCAGCGTCATGTTGAAGTAATTATCTCCATAAACATATTATAGCCTTCCATGCAGACAGATGGCATTTGCAGCAGCCTTCTCTATGTTACAGCAGGATTACTTCCCCTGTTTTCTTCTCCTTGTTTGGTTTGGTATTATTTTAGGTTACCTTTCTTTTTCTCTTTCTCTCCTCTCCCTAGGTGTTTTGCGCTTGGTCTCAGGGAGCTGTAGAAAAACCTCTGTGTTGAGGGATGGCTGACGCTCACACAGTGGCAGATAAACTGCAATGTCTGATTTCAGATTAAACCACGTGGCCCATTTTACCCAGGAAAAGCCAGCCCTGATAGCGTTAATGAGGCTGAGGAAAGGACTGTTGGACACAAAGGACTTGCTTAGAGACTGCCAAGTGAGAGTGTAATTAAAGGTAGAATAAGTACAAGGCTGATAAAGGAGCAATTTCATTTCTTAAATGGCAAGGTGATTACCAGCATAATGACAGAAAGAGAGGAGAGCCAGAAGGAAGCCTCAAATCCAGATTTGAACAGAAGAAAGGAAATCAGGATTTCTGGGTTCCTTTTGCTCCTTTAGCATCAAGTCACTGACTGAATGAAGAAGGGACATTGGCCATCCCTAACAGCTCCTTGCATGTATCTGTATGGTTAAATGTGGATAGCTGGACATGCTGGGGTGGAGGCTGGCAGTCAGTGTGTGCTCTTCAGATATTATCTCAGTCCCCTCTGGCCAAATAACAAGAACCTTGTGATTGAAGGGGTTTTGGTGCTGATTCTTGGTGGTTTTTTGTTGCTGATTCTTTGGGTAGATGCCATTGCTGTGGTTTCAGTTACAAGAGATAGAAGAGAATATTTGGGCTGCCAGATGATGCTGGTTACGGTCTAGGAAAATCCTGCTGATGCTGAAGGACAGAAATACAAGCTGTTCCCCCACATGTGGCTTTATTGGGAAGATACTAAAAGGTGACTGATGGTGGTGCTTTAGAAGACCTGATTTTCACATGTAGATGTTTGGAGATTGCTTTTGGGCATAATTCATCCTGGATAGAAAAATGAGCTGCAAGAAGTACCATGCTTCAAAACTTTGGCTTCTTAAAAATCTGAGGGGACCAATTTCACGTTACCTTACTCTTCATGTGCTGCAAGTACAGGAAATTACAGACTCCATTTGCTAAACGGCAGGAGGCTAAATGATTTGTCTCAGTCTCACCAATATTTTTCAGACCCCCATCATGGAGCCTTCCCTATACACTAATGCGTGGACAGAAAGTAAATGAATATACAATGTGAAGGAAGGATGACCAATCTCATTCTCTTGGCTAAACCTAAGTCATGGTACTGTGCCAAGAGAAAGGAGCCTGGAGTCTGCGGTGTTCACATCTAGTGCTAGCACAGTGTATTTAAAAAGTGGATGCTTTCTTCTCTTTGTGTCCATTCTGGGTGTCTCATTCTAGCAGAAGCCCATGCAGGGACCATAATTTGCAGTGTGGTATTGCAGTCTTCTCAGATGGCTTTTATTGTCACAATGGGTGGGAATGGTTGTATCATGAGAGGTTTAAGTAGGATGTGTGTTCTGTGATGCTCACTACTTTGCATAGTACAGTGACAGACTGTACTATGTACACTATGTACACTTCAAAACACAGCATAGGCTGACAGAGAAATGATTCGTGCAGCCGGGCTGGACTGTGACATATCTTATTCAGGCTTTTATGAGTGCCTCAGCTTGTGTTTGAGGATAGGGAAAACCAGGACATTTGCTTACTCAGACTTTGGGCTATTTGTCTGTACAGAGAAGCAGGACCTAAGAACATGTTCCAGAAGAGGAATTAGGCATCTGGGCAAAAGCTTTTGAAGGTAGTTTGAATTGAGCCTGATCACCCTGAGCTAGCACATGCGGAACGGGAGCGGTGGCGTCCGTAACGCGTTGAATTAATCCAGGGAAGTTGTGACAACTTTTGAGGTGGGAATCTTCTTTTTTTTATCATGACACCTGTTGCTCATAGGTACAAATCAAACGAAGAGTATGTGTATGTGCGAGGCCGTGGAAGAGGGAAGTATGTATGTGAGGAGTGTGGAATTCGCTGCAAGAAACCCAGCATGCTGAAGAAACACATTCGCACGCACACAGACGTCAGGCCATATGTCTGCAAGTACTGTAACTTTGCTTTTAAAACCAAAGGTAAGAGACAGTCAGCTCCTAGCTCCTCTGCTCAGTATATTGACTTACAAGCCTTCTCGGGGGTACTGGTGAAGGGGAAGGAAAAGCCTTCCCAGGGTCTGGAAAAGCCCAGGAGCTGGAGGGAGGGGGATGAGGGAGTCTCAAATTGGCTGTCATTGTCAGAAGATGACCAGTGGAAAGCACTGGCTGCAGCACAGCATCTGTGCCATCCCATCTGTGCTTCTTAAAGGGAATGATCCCGAAATGCAGCTTCACTGGCAGGGATTTACAAACCAAAGCACCTCAGAATGAGAGCAGTTGCTCCTGGGTACAGGCAGCGTGCTCTGACCGAGCACCTGGAGACAGTCTTTGGGTGGCTTTTTATGCTCTTCAGATCTGTTTGCGCTGCACATTTTCATCCTTCGCAGTTGCATGTAGCTTCCACGTTTCCTATATCATATCAGTAGACTTCTTCTTTCAAAGCCTCCATTCCAGGACATCTGGTCATTAATGATCCACGATTTCACTACCACCAGATACTCTTTGCAAGTAACCCTCATCATTGCTTTAGTGAGTGTGTGAGTGAATTCTATCAGGAAAGTGCAAAACCACATGCAGAAAAAAAGTCTATTCCAAGAGACTGTGGGTAAAGACTTCAAAAGTGCTGGAGGTGCCCAGGTCCCCTTAACTTTTCATGTGAGTTTGGCAGATCTCCCCTCCATCTTTGGTTGCAGCACGTCTTGCAATAAAGATGTTGAGTTCACTTTCTTGGTTCTAGTTCGACACGAATATGAAATGCTCAGTATCTGTAGCTCCATCATTGCAAATCTCAGAAGATAACACAACTGCGGTTGTCGATTACTCAACAAGAGCATCAACCCCCCAAAAACGGTGCTACCCAAGGAAGTGGCACAGCACAGATGGGGTGAGGAAGCTCTGGGTGTGTGGAACATGGCACGTGTGCTTACCCTGACGTGCCAATGGGGGCACGTCCATGCTAGACAAGTGACCCAGATGCCAGGTGATTCAGGGTGGTCAGTGTCTGGAGCTGATGACTTTGCTGGTAAAGCTGGCGGGTGATTTTGGGAACCAGTGTGCTGGTAATCACTACGTGTGTGTGAGCATGGGGAAGTGATACAGGGGCCAAACTCTGGTCAGACACATGCAGCAGATCTGAGCAGTGGCTCTTTCTCTCCCTCCCAGCCCGGAGCTATTTCTGGTTCATTTTCTTTCTCTTTCCCTCTTGCTTTTGTTACTTTGTTCTGAGGTTTTCCTTTGAGAGGTGAATCCATTCAGCCTCTTCAGTCACTTCACCTTGCTTTCCACCATGCTTCTGTAAGGCTTTTATTCAGGATGCTGCAATCAAACCATCCTTTTCACCATTTCTCTAGCTGCTTTGCTGTTCATCTCTTTTTCCTTGAAGCACACAAACTGTCAGCACTGACTGCTGATTGCACATTGCAAATAGACACTTGCCTCCAGGGGACTTCCCTTCTTCAGCTTTGCAGGAAACTTGCATGAGGAAGGTGGCATGGAAATGCTTCCTTCAAAAGCAAACCCCAGTGTTGGGATTTAAATGCAGTTTACCTACGGATGCATGAGTGGGGAAGAGCTTCCACAGATCAGTGATTTCAGGACAAATAGTTGGATGATGGTAACTTGGAACTGCATGGAGATGGCTCTTTGCTGGAAGGGGGTGACAATCAGAGCCCTGGCTGTGTCCTATGGGCATGCTTATACTCCACATGACTTTGCAGCTGTTTGTTTTACTGATGGGGATACAGGGTTCTTTGGAAGAGTCACTGGAAAGGGAGAAAAAGATCAACTTTATGTGCTGATAAAGTCCTCAGTTAAAGCCCAGTTACAGAACCACTGCTGTTGGCGACAGAGGGTTTGCAGAACTGGATGGTTCACAGCTTCTTTTGCAGATGTCTAGAATCGGTTGGTTTGTGCCCTGGTTCATTAGGGTCCTCCTTCCTGGCAGGCAGTTTTGCAACCACAGTTAGTTGCAGAATGGAGAAGCTGGAGCTCTCACTACCGGGCTGCACTTGCGAAAAACACAAGTTGTGTTGAAGCTCCTTTAGAAATCAGCTTTCCCAAGTGAATTTTAGCCTTCAATATAAACTCAAGGGGGATGTATGTGGAGCTGTCTTCATTTGGGCTGTGGTAGATATCTCCCGCATGATCTAATGCTCTAAACTCTCAAGTAGGCTGGAAGCAGTTAAGCATTTGTTTTACTATTATTTTTAATGAGGATCTTTATCTGTTTAAAATGTACCTCTCCCTCTCCTCTCCCCATCCTGGAAACTCCATACCAGTGTTCCAACAACTGGGAAAACTGCAAAAGAAAGGGCTTTAAATATTTCCCTCCTTTTTGCTAATGACCCTGTTTGTCTGCTTTTTGTGCATTTCCATCCCTGTAAGCAGAGCTGGTCCTTCGGGTTACAGAACTGCAGGGAAATTCTTCCTTTTTGTTCTTATTTTAAAGCAAATCCCTGGGATTTTTGGGTGCTCAGCAGGCTGATGGGAACAGCAGCCTTGGAAATTTGGTTTGTAAGGATTTATTTGATTTTACGTTTCTGGACCAGATAGAAATGTGCCTCTTTAATGAGGTGTCTCTACCTCCACTGTAGTAGTGCTCTCCTAAGAGGTTTGTTACCATGGCCTCCAAGAGGTTGTTTAAAAGAAGTTAAGCAGCTTCTTCATTATTTTCTTACCAGGAAGGAAATGAAGGAAAACTTGCAGTTTAACAAGTCTCCCTTTCAAGAAGGTCGGGGAGAGCTTTTCCCTTGACCACCTTCCCAGAGGGGACACAGGAACCACCAGCCTTCCCTTGTCACTCATGTCCAGAACCTGGAGGGAAGCGCACTCTTGGGTGGCTTGGGGATGTGGATCAGTGCTGGCACATCCATTCCCCCCCTGTGCAGGCATTATCCATTTCCACAGCTATTTTCTGTCCTCGTTCAGACTCACATCAGACTCTCATGTCCTGATTACTTAAGATTGCTTTACATTTCTGGACGAAGTGTATGGAGCAGCCCGCTGTGTGAATGCTGTTGCCTTTGCTTGGAGGTCAGAAGGGACAAGGAACTTCATATTAATTTAAAAGGTGCCTGTGTAAAGGACATCAGTGCCTGTTGGCTGAAGATATCCATTTGATAGTCTGGTCCACTCACAGTTTCCAGACACCAGACTTCTTCATGTCCTCAGCCATAGTCTTCCTTTAATAAATTAGTTTTCAGTTCCTTAAATCAGCACATGACAGGCACTGAGGTTATTGAACATGTTAATGTATTAAATGCATTACCCCCTCAGCCCTTAAAGGCAAGGTTATGGCTGCTCAGTTTATTATTATTACTGCTCCAGCAGACTCAGCGCTCTGCTGAGCCTCCTCTGGAAACTATAGACCGGGTCCAACTGGCTGGAAGCTCCAGAAGAATTAACTGCTGTTATAGCAGCACAGATTGAGATAGAGATTTACAGATTGCCCCTGTACTGTGTGTGCTGGGGCCCTTCCTCAGCGGCTGGGAGAGGGAAAGGGTCTGAGCATGCCTCTGGAGCCACTGATAAGAGGAGGCTTTGTTCCCCCTGCTCCTCGGGATGTCACAAACCTCCAATGAGACGAGGATGGAGTTATCCTGAGGAATTTGCTGCCTGCTGCCTTACGCAATGTGGCGTGAGACGTGTTGCTGGGAACAGAAAATGGCCCAGTGGTCCAGACAGGACATGGAACACTGTGAGCAAAAAGGCTCTGTAACTTCCCAGGGAAAGGTAAAAAATAACAAGGAATGAGGGCTGGAAGTAAAAAACTGGCAGATTCGAGTGAAATATTAGCTGTTTTTTGTTTTAAACAGTGCAGCTATTAAGGCTCAGCACAAGTCTCAATGGGAAATATGCTAATTCCCTGTATTTTGAAATCTGCAAATCCAGCCTGGGCACCTTTCTGGAAGATTAGTCTTTGGCTAACACAAGCTGATAGGCTTGATCCAGAAGAAGGCTAACATTTTATAGCCTCTATTAATAGAGGCAGGCAGGCAGATCTTCAGATTCTCGGCTTTAATATCTAAGTCAATAAGAATAAAAGATAATAACAGTGTTTTTTTTAAATTGAAATCTTTTGCCTAATAAGTTACATAAATTAAAGCTTTCCTTCTCATAGAGTCTCACCTGGGAACAGTATCTCCATGCCAAGACCTAAATGAAAGCCTGTCGCACATAAAACCTATTTCAAGGGTTTATCTGGGATGAAGAGCATTGGCCTGTGGCTGGTTCTCTGTGTGTGAGTGTGTCTCACAGCAAAATGTGAGTCTGCTACTTGAAGAGAATCTGTTGCTCTCCTTGCATAGTGTTTTAAAAGAGGAGTATGAAAACTCGTCAGTCCTTCAGAGCTGTGAATGTCTGTATCGCAGCATCACCTTGGATGCCGAGATGATGCAGCTGGTAATCTCTTGGGAGCTTTTTTGCTGGTGTTAAATTGTTCACATTTAAGAGGAGAAATAGGAATCGTGGTGCACGCCTGGGGATAGACAGGATCATTTTTTCCAAGGATCTTCATGTTTCTGTCCCCTATGTTTTGCTTTAACGTTTGAAAAATACGGTCATGGATACTCTGAAAAATTAATTTCCCTCTTTAAATTTAACTGGGAAATCACTTCTGGTCCCTATGAAGCTGCTTTAAGTGCTTTTGGAACACTAGACTTCCAGCTTTCTCAAAACAACACCAGTACTTAAGCTGCTTTAAGTCCAGAATAAGACCTCACAACATGGAAGAGCTTAAGCAGCCGCTATTACATAGTTCCAAGCAGGGGTAATGAGAGTGCTGTGCTGGTACTGCATGTCCTCCAGTGCAGCAGTGGTTGGGATGGGGTCACAATTTCCACTGGTTCCTGGCTTTATTATATATAGCCAGTGTATTTTAAAGCTGGGACCTTTTTGGTAAACAACTCCTAGTGAGGACCCCTCACCTGCTTGGGATACTGTTCTGCTTTTGAAATCCAGCTTCCCCCCCTGTTGGTTTCTCTCTTGCTCCTCCAAGTATGTTTTTCCCACTGTTTCCAAGGAAGCAATGCTCAGTGGGTTTGGTTCTTCTTTTTTAAGTTGCGAGCCAGAAGTCTTTAAGGCAACAAGAAGCTTTGAGTCCTTCCTTGTAGGATTCCTATCCAGTTTTTACTTAGGCAAAGTGGTGTTTGATTTTACTGGAAACTTGCCGAAGGACTTTAGCATTTAATCCTGCCAGCATTAATTAAGGGGTCTAAAAACACAAACTGTAAGAAGAATCCTGATAAGATAAATATGATTGTCCTCCAAATTGCTCCCAAGTTAATAACTCAACTTCTCAGATGGTGTAAGTGAGCCTCGAGCTTTTAACTTCCTTAAAATGATGCAAGCTTAGGGCAGATGAGAATCCAGCCTGTTGAGTCTCCCTTCCCTAAAAAGATAGCAGCATCCCTCTTTTGGTGGGATTTCTTCATGGCGTGCATGCAGAAAGCTGGACATGGATAGGCTGTGCACCAAGGGGATTTGCACTGAGAGCTTTGCAGGGTTATCTTGCTCCTCAGCACGTGTGGGTATCGCTTTATCAGACCAAATGAGGATGAAGGAAGATGGGAAGCAGAGCAGAAAGAAGTGGAAGGGGAAGGAAAGCAACGCTTGCTATGAATTGGGCCTTTGGTATTTCACATAAGCTCATTGGTATGGGGGGGGTTGGCATTGCCTGTGCAGGCAGCCTGGGTGGGCAAGGCAGAGGAGAAGCCATGGCCTTGCCTTGCACAAGGACCGTTGCCTCCAGTGAAAGACAATAAGAAGGGAAGTGACAGTGATGGCTTGTCAAGTCAAACTATTGCTCAGGGTGGAGCTGAGTCACAGCAGAGGTGCAGTGAAGGGATGGGCACAGAGCTGCAGGCTGCAGAAGTGTCTGCCCAAGCCCTTCAGCAGCAAAAGGGTAGAGTGTGCGTGTGCTGCCAATGGCACTGGAGCGCAGGTAGTAGGGAGGAATTGTGTATATGGACATCTGAAGTGGCCAAGGTGGCCGCTGGATGCCTCTGAGGACCAGAGTCCTTCCCTCGAGTATGGAGAGGTCCAAGTCTTGCTCAAATCATTGCATCCACCGACCCCTCAAGTAATTGATGTTATGCCCTTCCAGTTTAGCCAAACCAGATGCTTGTAACACAGTGGATTTATGAGCTTGCTTTGAGGATAATGGGAGCACTAAAATGCCTGGTGGACCTCCCTTCCCCACTCTTCCCACCATGGGGATCACAGCTGAATTCCCGAGGTGCCACAGACCACAGGTTAACCAACACCCCCCCTTCTCACACCATTACTTGGGCTTGTTTTCTGTGTTTATTGTCACTGGAGGGAATCCAGTGAGGGATTTTGCTGTGGTAACTGCACAAAGATGGGTCATTTTGCCAGCCAAGATGTGATGTGTGTGACGGACAGGCAGCAGCAGGGTTTGATTTCAACAGACTGAGTCAGTTTGCCTTTTTGCTAGTTAGGTCCAAAATTGAATTCCAGTTCCATGAGGCCACAATTTGGACTCGTTGTTTTGGTGAAGCATTTTTTCACTTTAAAACAATGGTGATTCACCGGGATCAGGGGTGTCCATGAGAGCATGATCTTGTCTGGATCTGTGGATGTGAACCAGGATCCAGACCTGGCTCACTGGATCTTGTGTCCATCTGTCTCATCAGAACTGGACACAAAGTTCTGAGTGGCTTTGGGTCCAGAGCAACACCCCTGGTCCAAAGTGGAGAAAGAGAGGTCTGATTCGGAGCAAGGACCTGAGCCAAGCTGCCCTCATCCTCATACCCGAGTGTCCTAACCATGGGCCTAAGGGTATTTAGACATGAAGTTGAAAAATAATACATCTCTCTTATTGGAGCTGCTATGCTGCATTTAAATTATTAAATATCCTTTGAATCCACATCCTAGATGGGTGCCAGCTACACAAGGATATATAGTCAGCCTTTGTCTCTCTCGGTCTTTCCTGTTGGAGCTATTCCATTTTGTACAAAATGGGCTAAATAAATAATTCATGGGCTAAAGGGAAACTTAACTTGGTAGCTAGATGGTTATGGCCCTCTTCTGAGGTGGGAGGGCATCACGGGTAATTCTCTGCTCCAGTGAATGGTTGCTTATTTATTTATACTATCCAGAGCAGCGGGAGGAGAGGTTGATAGAGGCCCTCTTATACTCCCACCCAGCTCAGGGACTGGGAGACTGAGGATACCAGCCAAGGGACCTCAGTCCTCAGCTGAAGGGTAGAATAAAGTGTGAGAATCCCTTTTTTCCTCTTCTAGTTTGGTGAGAAAAACAAGCCTTGTGCTCAGCCCTGCTCTCAGGTGCTGGCTGACAGACAGGCTCGTGGCACATCAATATTGCTGCGGTGGGCTTGGAGTGCTCAGCCAGCTCCTGGGGCTCTGCTGGGATATGAAGCAGCCCTTGGTGGAGCTTCAGCAAGAGCCCAGCTTTCTTCTCATCAGCAGCTCAGCCCATAAAGAAATGTGGGAGAGGAAAGGGAAAAATAGGACATATTTGCTTTTTTTCTCCTACCCTTTGTATTTCTCTGCATTCCACCTTCCTACCTTTTCCCCCTCAACAGAGGTTCCTCTTTGTTCAGTATTTCCCTTGGATATTAGCAGGGTTAATAGCTGTCTAATTAACCTGCCTGTAATGTGGGAGTTAGAATTAGAGAGGTGCCGCTGTGCCCATGAGTTATCCCATCACACTGCCCTGGAGCAGTAACCGATGCCCCCACATCCCAGTGGATGAAGCCTCATTAGTGCTGCCAGAGCCTGGTGCATGGGGCTTCAGAGGGTGCTCAGGACTCCTCCTGCTTCAGGGAGCAGAGAACTTTAGCCTGGCACTGCCTGCCAGAGCATCTGAGCCGTCCTGTGGGGTGGTTGTGGGGATTTTAACCCGTTTCTGGCACCTTGAGCACTCATTTTGGTAGTAGCAGTTCACCCTGTGGTGCTAAGGAGCTCCTCACCTCCAGGCAGGTGACCCTGTGTGCTGGGATGAGGTGGGAGGTGGTACTAGATTGAGATGTGTTTCTCTTCCCTACTTTCCTGCCATTTTTCATTGCTGCACCATCACAGCTGAAAGCAAGCCAGGATTTCCCTGCCTCCAAACCCAAATGTGTACCACAACTGTTTTTTCAGGTTGCACAACACCTGAAACGTCTTACAACCCTGCCAGCACCTCCTCTTCCATCCCAGCGCAGCAGCAGAGGAATGAAAGGGAGGACTTAGTCTTGTGTCACAGGGGATTTGCAATGGATAGTGGTTTGGGGAGAGTCAGAGGCCTCCTTTGTCTGGTTCAGAGCCAAATTATTAACTTGGAACTGCTGAGCTTGCAAAATGGGGGGAAAAAAGAGCCGTATTGAGCAAAATATGTTTTCTGCTTCTTTTCAGGGAATCTGACTAAACACATGAAGTCAAAGGCCCACAGCAAAAAATGTCAGGAGATGGGCGTGTTGGTATCTTCACTGGTGGATCTGGAAGCCGAAGAAGGTAAAATCTGTCACATTATAAACCTGCTCTTGCTGTTAAGAGAGGGCAGCATCCATTCAGGGAGGAGATGTGCTCCATAGATCATCCATTCAAAGATGGGGAGTGGTTTTGTTCACTCAGGCTCCTTCCAGCACACGAGTCAGTGAATTTCTGCTTGCAGGGGGTGGGTTATGGGGCCATCCTGGGGTGCTGCATCCATGGGACAGTGTGATCCTGTGTCTCCCTGCTGAGGGTTGTGCATGTTTGTCTGAAGTCTTTTGGCTGGCTGCAGACAAGAGTGAAGAGCAGGGAGCACCCTTAGCTTGATCCAGCGCTCTGCATATGGGCTATACACATAAGAATAAATAGCAGATCTGTGGCATGAGGCAGTGCTGCTTGGTATTTTGGGGTATCTCTGGCAGGGAGTTCAGGGTCTCCCTGATGTGCTTTGTGTCTCTCCTGGGCATAAAAGCAGGAAAACAAGACCCATCCGCAAGGATGCATTGCATAAGGCTGTGAACCTCGACTTTGCTGCAAGCACAGTGTGGTGGGTGGAGAAGAAAAAGCAGTCCCAGCACCTCGGTTGGGATGTGATAGCATGTTTTACTGGAGCTGAAGTGATGAGCATGAGCATGGGGGTGATGCTTTGGTGCATGGCCCGTGCAGGCTGTGCTGATGTTCTTGCAGAGGGGATGCGCTCCAGCAATACAGGAGTATTAATAATTCAGAGGATACCTTCCTCCTGAAAGGGTCACTGGAGGAGGACTTTTCCATACGTGCCCATCTTCCTGTATTGGGCTGATCCCAGAAGACTCCAAACTACCAGTGCAAACCTGGGCTGTGTCTGGAGGGACTGGTGCATGCAGGAGCTGCTTCTGTCCCTGCAGGCAAGCCCAGCTTGGACCCTGCACCACTGCTGAAGACCTCAGCATACCAGGATGGGGTGTAAGCAGCTCCTTCCTGCATCCCTCATTCTCATGGGTCCTTTCTGTGGGTAGGATGAAGGTGAATCACCCAGGCCAGAAATCATCTGGAAGGTTTCTCAGTAGGGAAAGAGCCGGCAAGGCTGAAATAAGATATTGCTTTGACATTTAATGGCATTATTCCCAGTGCTTTACAAGATGTATTTACCCTGACTCACCTGCTTATTTCTTTCACCTACTTCTGCACAAGCACACACACACACGAAGCCTGCCCAAAGCTCTGTATATGCAGGAGTCTGCCTGCTCTTTGAGCAGGACGCATGACTCTCTCGTTTAGCAATATCCACCCTGGTTTATAGTATCTGCATCTGAAGTCATCCCAAGCACATCTCTGGGGATGTTGGGCAGCATCAGACAGGAGTGTGATGACCATGAGCGCTTTATCCATCCGAAATGCTGGGAGGGGAAGGTGAGGAAGATTTCCAAGCCGGGAGATGAAGGAGCATGGGGAAGTCTTACGTACGCTGGGCTGTTTGAGCTAGGAAAGGATCTTTTACCCGAGTTATTGGAAGCTGCAGCCCAACAGCTGTGAAGGGCTCAGTTATGTGTCCCCGGGGAGCAGTTAGATGTTTTGACGATTGTTATTCTGTTTCCTTTAGCAAGACCCTGAGTATTCAGGCCTGGAGCTGCAGCACAGGGATGATGGGGAAGAAGCTTTAGGGAGAGCAGATCTCAGCTCCTCGTGAAGTTTGAGTCATCTGCATTTGTGCTCAGCGGGTCATTTGTGCTGGTAGGAAACACTGCACGAAGGGAGGCTCTGGGAGCACAGGTCTGCCTCTGTCACAGTGCCTTTATTCCTGGGTAAACCAGTGCCTCGGAGCCGGGTGGTGTTTTCTGTTTGCGTTGCGTTGCGTTGCAGGCTGGGCACGGCACCATTGACCCTTCCTGGCTGCCGCCCCAGAAACCCCAGTATGAAAGCAGCTCTTGTGGCTGCCTTTAGCATTCCCCCCACGCCCCGTTTCCTGTTTCACCCCCACTCTGTCTCACCCCAAACCATGCCGATTCCCCCATCGCTGGGGTTCGTTCTGCCGCAGCCCGCAAGGGTTTGTTGACAATGGGTTAAAATGAGCCGCACAAAACACCCGGCGCCACGGTTATTTTTGTCAAGCGAACATCAGCTGAGCAAGTGCTGGAGCCGGGAGCCAGGGAATGTTAACTCAGCAGGAACAACAAACAGCGCTTATCACCCCGCTCCCCTGCTGGGGTCAAGTCAATCAGAGGCTTTATTGGGAAAGGAGCTGGTTCCCGGGTCATGGGCAGTGCCGCGTGCTCCCTGCTTCAGAGGTAATTAAAAGTCACAACGTGTCTTTCCCTATGGTGGGAATGGGGTTTGCTCCCTTGTGGTGCAGGTGGTTCGCAGGGCTGGGGGAGCCTGGGCAGCCTCCGAGGTGCTTTATGTCTCAGGTTTGGGATATTGAAGCTCACAAATGGAGTGTGCTGTGTCCTTGGGGTATCTCCATGCTCATTAATTACACTGTGCTTGGGGCCTGCAAGGATGCTGGAGAGGGACAGTTCATCAGGGACTGTAGCGATAGGACAAGAGGGAATGGGTTTAAACTGAAACGGGGGAGATTTAGGTTGGGTATAAGGAAGAAATTCTTCCCTGTGAGGGTGCTGAGGCGCTGGCACAGGGTGCCCAGAGAAGCTGTGGCTGCCCCATCCCTGGCAGTGTTCAAGGCCAGGTTGGACACAGGGGCTTGGAGCAAGCTGCTCTAGTGGAAGGGGTCCCTGCCCATGACAGGGGTTGGAGCTGGAGGAGCTTTAAGGTCCCTTCCAACACAAACCATTCCATGATTCTATGGCATCTGCAGGCACCAGCAAAACATCATCTCAACTTAAACTGAGGAGCAATCAGCAAGGTATCTGTGGTTGAGGGAATCTCCCACACATCCACAGAAATGCTGAGCACAGTTTAGGAATTAGCATTCCTGCAGAAGGGATTGGATGTGGCCACCCTGGTTTGGAAGCACAGATGAGCAACCTGATGGGGCTGCAGGCCTTAGTTCACTGCTTTGGGGCAGCTATGGCTTGGAGGGCTGATGAGACTGGTTTTGACCTGAACAGACCATGGCTCACCTTGCCAGCAGAGAACACCTAGGAGGTACCTGAGAAGTCCCACTGGTTGACCAGTCCCAAACCTCAGTGATCCCCAATGCAGTGCATCGTGCCCTTTCAGGCTTAGGGGCTGGTTAAGGCCAGGGGCAGTCAGCTGGTTGACCAGGGGACAAGGAGGTGGAAGAAATAAAGAGCCCTATAGCATTGCCAGACACCTGTGCCCCCTTTCACAGTGCCTTCCCTGACATGTGCAGGGACTGACAAAGGGCTCTCCCATCTAACCAAGGCTAAGAATAACCTGGCCACCAGTGTGCTGTCTGCCTCAGGGGATGGCTTGCTTCCCTTTAAATCTGCTTGAACTCCTGGCTTCCCTCCAGCTCTTCAGAGCAACCTCCTGATCAGGCAGAGACGTGCTGTACTCGGCTGTGGCCTTTCCAAAGAGTGGCGTGGCCAAAAGAAAACCTGGTCAGGGATTTTGCAGTAGCAGCCCCAAGGGGAAGGTGTTGGGGTGGTGTGAGCAGTGGGAGGCTGTTCCCGTGTGGGGTTGCTGGAGAGCTCTCCTAGCCCAGGAACTCACTTAAAAGAACTGATTAGCCGATGGTCTCCAGAAAGCTCTCCCTGCTGCTGTACCACCCATCAGGGATGCCTCTGCAGCTCAAAGCTGGGTAGGGAAGGAGGAAAGTGGCTCCTGAAATGTCGGTTGCACAACTCTGGAAAGAACAACTGTTATTTTAAACCTCTCCATTACAGCCAATTAGAACTAATGAATCCTATTAATTGAGTTTCGCTTTTGAATACCTGCAAGTCACAAGTTCTATTTATGTTGCACGTAATTGCAGGTTTCTGAGGACAGAACTGCAAGGGCTCACTGCACCGGGCCAGGGGAATGCTTTCATTCATCATTTCCTTCAGTCATTCATCCCCCTGCTCACACAGGGTTAATAGCAGTGCATTCAGCAGGGTGTTGAAAGCCTGTTCATGGGGGCACTCTGCTTGTGAAAACAGAGGTCTGGCAGGTGATGAAGCTGAGCTGGTCTCAGCCTTTGGCCTTATGGGAAGAGTAGGTCTAAGCAAAAGCCCAAGAGAGCTCCGCTCTGCATCTCCAACTCAGCTGGGAAGGATGGGACCGTCAGCTGGGGGACTGTTTTTATGGCCACCATCAAATCGTCGGTCCCTGACTGCTTGTGGCTGAGCACGTGGTGGTTGGACACCTGCTAAGCCCAGCAAGGAAGGGCCCTACGTGGACTGCAGAGGAGAGGAACTCATTAGCTTTCATTAGGGACTCCTCTCCCGCTGTTGCTGCTGGCTGTGCGGCTGCTCGCTGGAATGTGTTGTGCAGTCTGGACTTCATTGCATTATACAAGCAATCCGTGTAATTGTAGAATTACAGAAAATATACAGTCCCCATTTCCTCCCATTGATGAAGACCATTTGTGTTTGTGTAAAGAGGACGGTCTGCCAGGAAGGAATGCAGAAAGGTGGAAATGGGAAGGCCTGGTATTGGAGGATGTTTCCTTTCTTCCCTTCCAAGTTCTTTATCACCTGGTTAAAGCTAACACTGGGCTTCTGCTGAGATTTCAGCTATTCGCCTCAGGAGTAAGGAGGCCCGTTACTCACAAATGCCAAGTAAATACTAAATAAAGCAGCCAAGAAGATGGACAGAAGATGGCATTTTGTACTGGAATGGTTGGGGCTATTTGGATGGATGAGAAAACAACAGAAATGCAGAAAGGTGCATGAAAAATCAGACATCACAGCTGCATCGCACATCCCCTGTTCTCAGAGCGGTGGCTTACAAAGAGCCTTCCTCTGTGTAACCACGGTGTATCTTCTGTCTTCTTTGCCTTAAAACAGAGCCTAGAAAGGGCTATTTTAATTAAATAATAAGAGTAATAGCAAAAAAGGAAGACTATTTCCATGTGTCACAAACCAGTGCAGGGAGATTGCCGTGCTTTCCTTTGGGGGCAGGCTGGGAGGGAGCAGCAGTTCCTAAAGCTCCCTGGATTATTTTAAACTAGAGTTGTATTTCACTTGATTGTTTCTATTTCTATTTAAGGGGCAGGAGAAAGTGAGGGGTGTTACTATAAAAGGAGATTTTAGTATCCTTCTTCACTCCTGCATTGTTTGCGCTTGGTGTGATTGCACAAGTAGGTTTGGTAGAATAACCTTAGAATAGCAGGCATGTAATGAAATGCAACCCTCAAACGAAGCCATCAACAGGGCACATTTTCAGTAGCTCCCTCTCTCCTTCCTTTCTCCATGTCTCCCTCTCTGTCTTCTCCTGATTTGCCCTTCCGTAGCCCATTAGCTCAGGAAGATGCATTTCAGAGCTCAGAGCTGAGCTCTCTTTCTGCCTGCAAGAAGCGCATTAGAATGCCAAAGCCAATTCCCTTCGGGCTGTCCTAGGGCTCACTGTTTCCCTCAGTGGCAAATGCAAACAAGTCCCCAGTGCAGAGCTGCCTTCACATTTCCCTAAGTCACACTTCTGCCCTTGCTCTCTGACCTGGCCAGCGCCTGTCTGTTGTGTGACTGGGGCCTAAAAAGGAGACCACACAGCACAAGGCTCTCGGAGCCACTCAGTGGAGGCTGAGGCTATAGCTGCCTGTCCGTCCGCAACCCCAAAGCCAGAGACAGGGACAAGCTCGTAGCTCCAGTAGTGAAATGCATTCCTTTGCCAAGCAAGAAATATGCGCAGTTCACCCTACAGCTGGGAGCGCTGGTTGTTTGCAATAATGTTTGTTCTGAACTCGGTTCCTTGGGGAGTTTGCAAACAACCCGCCGCTGGATCCGGGGTCCAGCAAACACCATCATCACACAAGCATTTCACAAAGTCAGCCTCTTGGTGGAGAGCGGATGGCTTTGACTCGATGCTGTAGGAGTTCTGAAGTATTTCTCGCTTTGCAGACCAGTTACAGATACTTTTGAAACGGGGTGGGGAGCAAATGGGAGGCGTTTCAGGCTGTCTCTTGGGTGGATAATGGTAAAATAGATGTCTTATTGCAGTGGTAATGCCTGATACTTTCATGAGCACTAATTACCAAGCCCCTGCTATTTGGAGTAAGCAAAATGAGACTTTTTATCCTTAGATCACAGTGATTTCTCACTGTGTGGCCACGTCCCCTTCAGAAAACCACTCTGTCTGCTGCAGGCAGGTGTGGTCCAGCCTCAGCATTAGCTCTGTTTAATTTCCCCTCCGGCTTGTCCTGCTGACAGATGGCAGCTCTAAATGGAAAACCATTTCAGTGTTCATCAGAGGAGAAACAGTGTCCTAGGCTGAACTGACGGGGTAAAGAGGCCAGCAGCGCTGCAATTAGTTACACGGCTTCGTGCAGGTGTCAGAGCAGCATCCAGGCACTCTCCTTCCTTCCAGAGCTGAGATAGAGTGTGCCATCAGCTTTGCACCCATCGCCTTGGTGTATGGCACAAACAGTGTGAGAAACGAGTGTTTCATGAGCCCTGGTGGCTTGCAGGAAACCTCCTGACAGTGCGATTTTGTTGAGCTACAGTGACATCCAGTGGCTGTTCCCGATGGACCTCTCCAGGCTGAGCTTGCACTTCTGCCAGGATCAGTGCACATCTGGCAGGGGGAAACGCAGGTTTTCATTAGCCAGAGCAGGGCAGTGGGTGATGTTGCACCAACCTGCTTGGGAGCGTGGTACCGATCTCAGACGGCTTCTGCTGGTCCTTCAAGTAGAAGGGAGATGCTGTGTTCTCACCTGCACACTTCAAACGCTTTAGACTTTGCTTTTTTTGTAGACTCCTCACCATTTAAAAGCTCTTATTACAAAACATCCCAGTGAAAGCCCTTGCGCAGCCAGACTCCAAACTCCTCTGTTACAAAGCAACATCTGCATCATAATTGGAATTTACCAAAAGATGGGAAAATCCACAGAGGTTCTTTCAATCCTGTTGTTTGCTTTCCAAGAAGTTGTCTTGCTAATGTTTAACTTCCATTTAATCTAGGCAGGAAAAGGCCCAACATGTGGAGGGTGGGAGAGGTTATCCCAGCAACTTCCCTGTATTTTGGCAGCTGTAGATATTTTGTAGGCACCATTGCAACCAATGGTCAGAAGAAGCTGTGAAATAGCCAGGTCCTCTCCCCTCTTGTCCCCTTCTGAGCACAAAAATAGTCCCTGTATGTGTGTTTTCTGTTTGCCCATTATCTCTGTTTTCTGTTTGCCCATTCCTTCAGGAACCAGTGAAGACCTATTCCAGGACTCTGAGGGGCGGGAGGGATCTGAGCCAATTGAAGAACACCAGTTTTCAGACCTAGAGGAATCTGACGAGGATGATGACAATGAAGACGAGGAAGATGAGGAGGAAGAGGAGAGCCAAGATGAGCCACCTTTAAAGTTGCCGGAAGGCAAACATACCACCCTCCTGATGCACTCTTCAGGTGGCTCTCCATCTTCTCAAGAGGAAGGCACCGAAACAGCATTGTCCTTAGCCCAAGAAACTGTTTCCAGCAGCCAAAAAGCAGGTGAAGGCCAGCAGGCCTCCTCCTCAGGGCTGGAAACAAAGTGGTCAGCAGACAGCAGTGACGTTGCTGTGTGCCACAGCTTCTTGAGTCTCCACAGACCAGCTTTGACCTCCACCGAACAATTGGCTTCTGCTGAAAGGGAGTCTGTCACAAGGCCACAGATGGCCTTAGTTATGGACCTGGCAACCTCAAAAGACACCTCCCCAAGGAAGAGGTGGTCTCCGAGCCAGGACTCTGGCAGAGGTGGTGGCAGCAGCAGACCAATGCTAGCCAGAAAGCACCTATTAACCAAAAATGAAACTTCACCGAACCGATTCTCACCCACTGCAGAGCTGTCTTCTCTGAGGTGCCTGTCCCCAGGCAGAGGGTTGTCTCCTTGCCAGCGCGTGTCTCCCCGGAGGGAGGCATCTCCACTGCGATGTGTGTCACCAAGACTCGAGCTGTCGCCCAGCAGGCATCTATCCCCCAGAAGAGAGCTGTCCCCAAGAACATACCTTCCACCAGAAGGAGAGGTCTCCCCTGCGAGGCACTCGTCGCCAAGCAGAGAGATGTCATCAGTCAGGTATTTATCGCTGAAGAAAGTCCTGTCTCCAGGCTGTTCCGAGCCGCCTCGGTATCCATCCCCCGGGAAAGAGGACTTGCCTGGTACTAGCAAATCAGCGGCAGATGACCAAGTTCAAAGCTCATATCAAGCCCAGCATGGGATATTATCTTCGATGCCTCTACCTCACAGGTTCTTTGGCAAAAACATACAGCTCTACGAGTCCAAGCTGGTAAGTTCAAGCCCCTCTTGCCTCCTAGTCCCTGCAGTACATTCTCTGGTATGTTTTTTGATGAAGGTTGCGATGCAGAAGTGCACAAGTGACTCTGATCGTGGCTGGTGTCACAGGTAACCCAGAGAAAAGTGACAATGGACAGCAATGGGTTTTGCACCCGTGTGGTCCTGCCTGTCTCAGTTGAAGAGAAATAAAATTGCCCCTTCTCCAAGGAGTTATTCACACTCCTGACCCAACCGGTCTCCGGCTGAGCCAAGCAGTAAGGATGACCTTAATAATGACTAGTTGTCACTAAAAAGCTTTTTTCCCCTCAGATTTTCATACCCATTTCTGAGATTTCACCATCTGGGGGAAAGCTGTGGCCATTTCTCTCTGGTCAGTGAAACCACTGAATGAGAGCTGAACTGGCCATTGCGCTCTCCTGCTGGCTCCTGGGCTATGTACATAGGCAACCGACTGTGTTAAATGACCTGCTGAGGCCATCTCTGATTTCATCTCACTTCTCTCTTCAGCACAGAGAGATGGATCCCACTGGGTCCAGAAAATGATTTAATCTCTCTGCTGGACATACCAAATCCTATGGGTAAAGGAAAATTGCATGTTCCTCCCACTGCTCCAGTCAAATTAGATGTTGGGTTTGGTGGAACGTTTCTCGTTTCTACACAAGTGCCTGGATCTGCTGTAATTCATATGCTGATGAACATGAGATTCAGTTGCTGGAGTTGCTCTGCTGTGAAACTGGTGTGAGGAGAGACTCAAGCCCTTATGGGCTACGCTGGGAAGAGAGATGCCTTTGTAAAAGCCCTGGAGAACCTGTCACAGCAGATGCTGACCCAGGTCTTCTCCAGAAAGCCACGCTGCCCTGTATGCATTTCTTCCATGTCTATGATAACATACCTTCTTCTGCCTTCCTTCTGCTTTCCACTTTGAGTATTTCTCTTACCTTCTCAGAGAAAATCCCTTGGTTTAAGCTCAAACTTTTGCTTACTTTAATGCTCTTTTCCTTTCCTGTCTATTAATTTTTCCTGTCTTGTGGAAAATCTCTGGTCCTTCAACTCTAAAGCATCTCTATCAGGAAAACTGCACACTGCCCCTATTTGTAGCAAATCCCTTAAGCTCCCTTGTCAACAGTAGAAGTCAATACGGTGTACCCCTGCTTATCTACCCATTCACACCTTGTAACTTATACTCTCACACCTTTTTGCTCCATCTTCCTGTTCCTTTTATTCACAGTCATCACTGTTGCTTTTCTCATGTGCCTCCAAAGCAATGACAGACTCGAACAGGAAACTTTCCATTTATCAGCAAGATGGACAGCTGGCCTTTCCTTGCGGAATTGTATCCCTGGTAAGGCTACAAGAAAGATCAGAGGTGGATTTATCAGATCCAAAACCATGAGATGGTCTCAGCTTAGCTTCAGTGTAAGGCTTTCTGTCGACGCTCTGCATCAGGCCTCACCATGACCATCTCTCTTCCCACTGCCTCTTGCAGTAGGTAGTCTCTTGGGCTGGTGGCTGTTTCACCACTGAGACAATTTGATTAGGGGTGTCCCAGCATCCCATAGTGATTCTACCAAGGCTTCATGTGGATAAGTGAGATCTAGCAAGTGTTTGGGCTTGTAACTGCTGAACAAGTATGCATTATCTTCAGTGGCTCTTGCTTTCTCTCCCTTCTGTTCTCTTTTGCTGCTTTCCTCTGTCACCTCTTCGTAGAGATCCAGCCCATGGGGTCAATCAATTCTCCATAACCCTACGAAGACACATAACCTCCAGTGAATCTTCAACTTTTAAAGCTAACCCCATCTTAATGGAAAGTTGATTTCAACTTCTGTTGCTTCCTCTTCTTGGGAGTCCTGTTTAGGGGTTTAGTTATAACCTCATCACTAATTAATCCATTTCTGTTTAGCCACATATCTCTCCATGATGTACATTAGGAAACTATGTGAAGCACCGAGAGAGAAAGAGGAAAAGGTAAAATGATAGGGTCTTAACACTTGATTTCTATAGGCCACACCATGAGGGTGGTGGTGGGGACCACACTGATGGGTGTGCTTTGTGTCAAATGAGAGTTAATGCTATGTCTCCCTCTGTACAAACCATCCTTCAATTAGCAGCTGTAAGGATGTGATCCTAATAAAAATAGATAACATTATTCTGGGCTCTCAGAGCACTGAAAGGGATCCAAAGCAGCTCCCATGGCAGGAAACACTGGCATCCTCTGCCAGGCTTTCAGAGGCAACTCTGATAATAGCACAAGGGGTGATGGTTTTAAACTGAAAGAGGGTAGATTCAGACTAGATATCACATCTATCTTTTTATTCTGAGGGTGGTGAAACACTGGCACAGGCTGCCCAGAGCGGTGGTAGATGCTCCACCCCTGAAAACATTCAGGGTCGGGTTGGACGAGGCTCTGAGCAACCTGGTCTAGTTGAGGATGTCCCTGTTCATAGCAGGGGGTTGGACTATGTGACTTTTAAAGGTCCCTTCCAAACCATTCTATGATTTTATAATGATCCAAGGCTGAACCAAGCCCTGGATCTGTGCCCCAACAGACCGTGGGCCTATTTATACGCAGAAGGCAAATGCTGTGGGTTTTGTTGCTCCTTACCTTAAAGGTTTGGGGTTCCAAATCCTGTTTGGTTGATTAATCTCCCTCAGATAGAGTGAAATACTAAAAAACCCAATCCTTGTAGTGAACATTAATGATGCTAATGCTGTAACTTGTGCATTGCACTGATTCAGTTGTTTCTTTTCCCTCTCTGGTGCAGAAGATAGAAACAAGAAGCCCAACATGCTCCCCTGGCATCACGCAGCCTGTCTGCTCCAGACCCTTGCAGGCGCCTCATGAAATACACGTCCATGCTCCCAGCCGAGGGGAGGAGAATGTCTTCAGCCATCTCCCGTTGCATTCGCAGCAGCTCACAAGGACCCCATATCCTATGATTCCCATTGGGGGCATCCAGATGGTCCAGGCGAGGCCAAGCACCCATCCCAGCTTGGTGCCCAGTTCAGTCATGTCCCTGCAAGTGGGATACTTTGCCTCTGGTAGCAGCAGCTTTGCAGAGTTCAGCCAAGCTCCTAAAAGGGACGAGGAACCGCAGGTCCCGCAGGAGCCATCATCAGCATCCGTCTCCCCGGTTGCAAAGGTTTCTAAATACACGCTGTCCCCAGAGCTTACGAGCAGTGGTTACTTAGAAGAGAAAATGAGGACTAGTGAGCTTCAGCAAAAGACAGACCAGGAGGAATACAGGGTAAAAATGTTCACTGAATCTAGCCACGCGGAGCAGGCAGGCGGCTCGGCATCCCCAGCCAGCCCCAGCGCATCCCATGAGCACTCTCCAAAGCCTTCGACGAGCGGGGAAGAACCCTTGACAAAACCGGGCAAGAAGCAATCTGGCAGCTCGAGCACTTCTTTTGAATCATCCTGCACTTTCATCTCAGACGTCCCCTCGCAGCCGTTGGACCGAAGCAGCAGCACCGGCTGCCTCTCAGAGCCCTCATCGAGCCATCCGCACGCCCAGCCCTTCTCCAGCCGGAGGAGAAACCTCTCTGGAGAGCCCAGTCACCAAGGGGGAACCTCCAGGAAGAGCAGTCCACACCCAGAGCATGCAGAGTTAGGTCAAACTCAAAAGAAGGTGGATGAAAACACGGGAAGTACTTAAGCCTCCACCATCTGTTCCACCTTTAGGCTTCCAATGTAAAATCAACAGACATTTTCAACACTATTTCCTTTAGTATAATCATCGCTGTAAGAAGCACTCTAGTGAATGACCAAACCCATGGAAGATTCCTGGTTTTCTTTGTCCCAGTCTGGTATTATCTCCACATGTATGCAGTTACTTGTGCCTTTTTCTATACCTTTTGTTGCTTGAAATGTACAAAACTGTTTGAGGCTGTGAATATTTTTTTACAGTTTTTTGGAAAGGGGTTTGTTAGACCTTTGTCTTTTTTTTGCCATTTCGGTGTGCGTAATGATGGGCCTGAGAGATGCAGAAAGGAAAGGGTTAAGCATTTTAAGAGGAAGAAGATGCACTGAAAACAAACAAAAAAAAAAAACAGAAAAACTCTTTTATATTGATTAAATGATTAAAAAAAAAAAGAAAAAAAAAACAAACACCAAACCAAACCCTTGCTCCTGTGTACAGAAGTTTATGATTCGTATTTATTACATGCTTTATTTAATTCTCCCAAAGTGCTTGGTTTTTTTCTCGCATCCCTCTGTTTGCCTATGGTTGTGCTTTAAACAGTTGACACTGCTTTACATTTGAGAAACGTGTTTACCCTGAGCTTGTAAATGAAACTAGCACTTCCTTGAGTAGGGGAGGTTCCTTCGCAGGGAGAGAAATTGTCACTCAAAAGAGAAAATGAGTCTTGAGCATCCCTCCTCCCTCCTGCAGAACCCATCAAAGCACTTTCCTAAAAAGGGACAGAAAAATAAGGTTCTTCTTCAAAGATTTACCTGCAAGAACACAGGGATGTATCGAATGTAGACCCAGTGCCAGGAATGGTGTCTCTCGCTGGACGAGCCGGCCTCCTGCTTGCTTTAATCCTCTCACCCCGCGTGCGCGGCCGCCCGGCAAAGTCCTGCCCGTGCCTGACCCCCTTCTTCTGTGGGGTTTGGAGCCCTCTGTAAACACCCTCCCTCTGTTTAAACAACGAGGTTAATCTCAGCCTTGCAACCATTTTTCCTCTGTCATTTTTTTAGTCGCGGACAAGCTCCCTCTGTCCCCGCCTTGCTCCTGCTGGTTCGGCTTCATTGAGCCCTAGGGATGCAGGAGGAGTTTGTGCTCTGCTCGTTTGCACGCCTGAGGCTCCGTAACTCACGAGTAACTATATGGCTTGTTTTTGCTTTATTTATTTATTTAAGCAGAACGTCGCCAGCGCAGTCCTTCTGGTGCAGATGGGCCCTTTTATTTTTGGTGTTTCGGAAGCAACCAGTGACGATGCTGAGCGGTCGATGTTTGCAATCAGCTTCTTGTGCATGCACAGGAACTTCTGGCAGAGCAAAGTTTTAACCATGACCATCCGTAGCAGAGCAATGGCCTCTACTGCCAATAGATACGATACCAAATACAGAGAGACCAGATGGAGCCATTCCTCTCTGTCATGTTAATACACTTTTTAAGCTACAACTGTTCCGTATATGTTTGCCCTAGCAGACGGCAGGTTCTTTACTACTTCAGAGGGTTTTCTGGTCTATGGAATCTGTACAAACCTCTTTTTTTGGGTTTTATTTTAACAGAAAAAGCTATTGCTATTTAAGCGGTGGAGCAGTTCTTTCTTTCAGAGCTGCTCTGGTTTATCGGGTACGTGATACAGTTTTTAACTAAAAATAAAAATAATTAAAAAGAAAAAAGAAAAGAAATCAAAGAACCCCCTGACTAAGAACATCTCCCTTTGCCAGACTTGGTGAGCGATGAACTGTTCCCGTTCCACGGGCAAATAATAGACTTTTTTTTAATGATCTTCTGTGATTTTTTGGGGGGTTTCCTTCTGTTCTTTTCAAGGGAATTAAGTACAAAAGAAGATATCATGGAAATAACATTAAGGCTGTGACACTGACCAAAACAATGTCCAGAACCCATTTATACCTTAATTAGCACTTTTATCAAGTTGCCCTTTTCCCATCTCTCCCTCTTTGGCCCCAAGCCTGGAAGCTGGTCTTGCTTTCAAGCCCGGACAGATCCCAGGGCAGGAGCAGGGTCTGAGAGTTCAATTCGGTGAAGCAGCTCTGTTCAATGAAACTCTTAAGCATCAGCTTAAATCCTACTCAGGTTTTAAGCATGTGCTTAATATCAAGATGTTTCGGAGTGGACTGCTCAGTGTGAGCATCCCTGGGAACCATCCACCACTTGTTACTTCCCTGGCTTTTGCCACTTTGCCCCCTCCCTTATCCTTGTCACACTCTTAACATTATTCCAAGGTAGCTTTTTGTATTTAATTTTATATCTATATATTTATATATATTGAAATTGTACATAAAGAAAAATAATGCAGCAGTTGTGCACTCAGAGTCCTGGTTTTGTTTAGGTGCGTTTGACATGAGCTTTGGGCTAGATCAAATTTGCTCGGCTTCTTTCTGTAATTTTGTTTGAATCCTTGATCTGTTGATACTTTAGATGGTGGGGTGGGTTTTTTTTTTTTTCTCTGTCATTTCTGGACAGAGCTGGGAAAAAAAAGCCCAACAAACCCCTGAAGTCATTCCATTGGTTCCTTGCTTTTGTGGTTTATTGTTAGTATTACCTAAAGCTTTTCCAGCAGATCAAGATGAGTTGAAGCTTTCTGCATCGCAGCTGCAGAGCATCCAGACTGGCAGCCACTGGTGTGTGTGACCATCCGGATGCCTTTGCCCACAGATCCCATACGAACCCCCTGGTAGTCATGGACTGGGCACAGACAGGGAGAGCTGAAAACTCAGGAGATGGGCAAACCTCCCATCTGGGTCTCAACCCAGTCTGGTTTCTCAGCAGAGTGGCTGCAGGCACAGCGGGGGAGGCTCTGGCTGGGGTGAAATGGTGCTTCATGCTGTACCTAACAGGCGCAATATGGCCTATTGGATAGGCAAAAAAGGATCACAAATATATATACATATATTTAAGGGCTAATTCTCACACTGACAGCTCAGAGCTCCATGGGAAGAGTGTTCTCTGCACTGGCACCAGCATCTTGTCTGTGGGCAGAGAGGGTGTCCCTGAGGGCAGCCCCAGCCCTGCTGTGAAACCATAGTGTGACCTTGTGCAACTCGTGTCTCCCCTCTGCCTCATCTTCAGCCAAGGAGCACAGTGATGCAGCTCCACTGATTGTGTGTTAAAACAGAGGTGAAGACCCAGCCATCACTGGTGGCTGCCGTTCCAACCTGGAGCACCCATTGGCTTCCCCATGCCGCCCTTGGTGAAAGCTCTTTGCAGGTCACAGCTTTTAATATCACTCTGGGTGAATGTTCTGTCTGCAAAGTAAGGATGATAAATCCTGCTTTACTTTCTGCAGGGGCTGCAGGGGTGGTGAAGTTTGTATCAGTACAGACAGTTTGGAGAGCAATTAGCAGTATTATTTACAAGAGAATGTATTCATAATGCAAATAAGGAAATTAAAAAAACATCCCAGCCCTTCCTTTTCATCAGCACGTGGAAATAAAACCCCCTGCTTTCCTTATGGAAGAGGTTCTTAAATGCATAGTCCATGAGGGCACGTGGCTTCCAGAGACTGGCTGCTCCTCTTTGTTATGTAGTTGGTTCATCAGCCAAAACCCCACTCTGATCTTTCCTTCCCTGGTAAGCTGTTTGTGTAGCTCTCATGAATGCAGGTACTCAATGGCAAACGGGTGCTCTGGCATCCAAGAAATCATTCTGCACTGAGTACTTGGCCCATGTTCTTAACTCCTTGAACAGTCCTGTTAAGTACCAAGCCTTATAGCCAGAGCTAATAAAGCACTTGCACATTGGCTTCAGCTTAAGCACTTCTGGAGTTTCAGTAACTTCTTTGTGCTTAAGCATGAATTCAGCTTCTTTTATCAAGGCTACAGAGCTTGGTATCTTGCAGACCATGGGAGGAGGAGAGGGAGGCAGTTGGCTCCCCAGAACGACCCCATGCCTTGAAGCAGATCTCTGTCAGCTCCAATTATTCACAGGCTGTTGGCTGGATACCCAGGAACTGCAGCAGGAAACCCTTAAAAGTAACGATGAAGTAGCTGTGACTTTACAGCTTATGACTGAGAAATGTGTTTCACCACCTGCTCCTAAGAGGTAACATTTGCAGTACTGGTGTCTATAAAGCTCCATGCCTTGGCTAGTGCTTGGGCTCACTGGTCAAAGCCAACCTCTGCAGAGCCCTTGGGGTTGGATGCAGCAGGAGATGCCGGCTGGCAGAGCTGGGGAATGCCTACCTGCAGTCAGTAAAGCACCCAACCACCCTTCAGTCACTGCCCATCAGCTCCACCGGGGCAGTATCAGCCCCAGCCGGCCACATCCCATTGTTTTCCTATCACCTCCACCGGCAAACCTGCAAACCAATTGGTTTTCCCTTAAGCCAGCTTTCAGTGTTACCCAGAGTTGGGTTTCAGTTCACAGAATCAGCACCTGAATGAGCAATATACTTGGGCATGCATTCAGGCGATTCCAATTTTCATGCAAAATCCTGGACAATTTGATCTAGCCCTTTCCTGCTGTTCTTGCAATAGCTTTTCGTTTCCTGATTTGGTTTTATCATATGCTTTTTTCTTTTTTCTTTTTTCTTTTTTCTTTTCTTTTTTCTTTTCTCCTCTTCTCTTCTCTTCTCTTCTCTTCTCTTCTCTTCTCTTCTCTTCTCCTCTTCCCTTCCCTTCCCTTCCCTTCCCTTTTTAATATCTCCATCTATTGCACAGTATTTACAAAGAAAACTGTATTGTAAATGATTTACAAAAAATAATTTAAAAAAAATCATTAAAAAAAGAAAAAAAAAATCAGTCCTGATGGCATAACCCCCCCAATCTGTTTCCATTCCTGAGATATGATGGCACTTGAGATCACTTTAGTAAATGTAATGTAAAAAATAAGAATAATAAGAAGAATAAGAATAATGTGTAACGCAAATTTAATATACATGGTCTCATGTAAGATAAATATTTGCCTTTTTTTCTAAAAGGTGTATGTATTCTGTAAGTGGAATAGTCTGTAGAAAGTTTCTATATGTTCTTCAAATGGCAATACATTCCAAAAACGGTACTGTAAATATGTACAGCGTCCAATGGGGTTTGGTAGTTTTGCCTGTAATTTGATTTGAACTCCGGTTTCTACACTTGCATCTCGCGATGTCTGTATGGTTATAGCAGTGCAAAAAAACCACCCAAGAAACGCAGGTAAAAGCACAGTCTGATGTAAAAACAAAAACCCAACCACAAAAAAACAACAAAAAAAAACAACAAAAAAGCAGAAAAACCACAAAACAGAACAAAAAAAAAAAAGGAGAAAAAATAAGAGAAAATCCTCAGTATTCGATGTTTGTGACCCTTCTGTAAATGACATCTGTACTGTGAATGAGAAGTTTTTACAAGTATAACATTGCCTTTACTACAGCTCAGATTGACTGCTCGGTCTGAGCTTATTTTTAAAAAAATAGCATGTTGGAATAAATTTTAAAGTCCCAACATACGAGCACGTGCGCGCCTGGCCGTTTTTAATTCTCACCTCGTGCAGCACAGCCAGGGACCCGGCTTGGAAAACCACGGAGGCGGAGGTGGATAAACCAGTGTGGAGCTTGGACAAGGGGAATGGCTTTAACCTGCCCGAGGGGAGACTGAGATGAGCTCTTAGGCAGAAGCTCTTCCCTGGGAGGGTGCTGAGGCGCTGGCACAGGGTGCCCAGAGAAGCTGTGGCTGCCCCATCCCTGGCAGTGTTCAAGGCCAGGTTGGACACAGGGGCTTGGAGCAAGCTGCTCTAGTGGAAGGGGGCCCTGCCTGTGGCAGGGGTTGGAGCTGGGTGAGCTTTAAGGCCCCTTCCAACCCAAATCAGTCTCCAGTGGATGTCTGCAGACAAGTTCAGGGGCTGGTGGAGGGAGGCTTTGCAAAGAGGTCAAGGAAGGAAATCTATCCAATTTCATGTGTGACCACGCAGTTAGGGCTGCATCAGCCCGCAACCAGCTGCTCCCTGTTCAAACATCAGAGCCTGGACAATGCTTCTCTAGCATTGATTCTTTAGCATGGTGGCTGTTTCTCGGTGGCAGAGATGAGGGAAGGGGTGGGGAACCTCATCTGCTCTCCATTTAGAATCACAAAAGCCACATTTGTGCATGAAAAGGAGGAAGAAGGTTGCAAACCTCTGCCTCCATCTTCTCTGAGGTCTGGCTGGCAGCAATCACTGGGTTTGAATCTGTGCATCACTCAGGAGGAAGGAGGGTACCAGCCCTCAGCATTCAGCTGGGAGATCAGGTCCCTGTTCCTTGCTTCAGTTTCCCCAACTGCAGACAGCAGTCCTGGCCTCAGAAGGCTATGAGGAAACTCCAGTGGTTAAAACATACGCAAAAGCAAGGCCTAATGATGCACAACTTTGGGTAACATCTCCTGAGGGGTTCTCCAGTGTTGGAAAGGCTTAGAGAGCTTTGGGTGGTGGGTGCTATGCTCTGCATCCCTCTCCTCCAGGGGAGTCCCGCTCTTGCTGTTGTCCCTGCTCTGAGAGTCTGCTCGGTGCAGTAGAAGTGGATCTAGGATTTTGGTCCATGCATCCAAAGTGCCTCTGTGGGTCTAGGGAGATGTGTGAGGTCTGAGGAAGGCTGGGTCCTTTACTACCCTAAAACCACTTTGTATTTTCCTTTGTGGTGGTGGAAGGCAGCGAGTCCTGGCTGGAGGCCGCAGGATGGTGACGTTTATTCCAGCCACTCTGCCAGCCCCTCCAGTGTGTGCTTTAGCCACTGAATGGAGGAATGAGTTTTCCTTGCAGGAAAACAGCTCCTCAAACCAGAGCTGCTTTACAGGCAGCCAGGGCTGTCTGCAGAGAGCTGCAGCTAAACCCCACTGATCTCCCAAACCTGGAACAAATCTGGTTCGCACAAATCTCCAGAACGGCCCCAATTAATCAGGTGTCCCAAGAAATTCCTTCCCCCTAAAGAGTCTTTGTATTCTAGACAGAGAGATCAGACATTTCCTCCCTTGGGGAGGCCAATGGGGTGTCAAAATACTGATACTGGTGCTACAGGCTGGTTACCCCATGAGAAATGCAGTTACTGACAGCCACGTGAAGTGGGGAAGGTTGTGACAATGCTGTAGGAAGCTCAAACCAGTGGTTCACTCTGGGAGGCTGGAATAGCTGATCCCGTGGTGAAATGGTCTTCCCTTTTCCCCAGGTTCAGCCTGGAGCTTGACTTGAGAACCCAGCAAGATTAATTCCTGTTACAACCAGGCCTTTCTGTGCATCACAGGAATAAAAGCACCTTCAGAAATCTTCACTCCTTGACCTCTCATATAGCTTTTGGCTGAAGAAGGAACTGGATTGCCCATCTGAGGGGCAGGTTTTGGCTGCATTGTGTTGGAAGATGTACCCCAGCATCACAACTGGGAAGAGCTTGTGTGGAGAATGAGCTGGATGGCTTCAGCAAAACAGAATCAGTTTACCCATTGTTAATCATAGAGCTGCACCACAGCGAGCTGCTGGCATGGGAGGAATAACAGAGGGGGAAGGACTGGGGATGAGGATGAAGTGATGCCTCTGGGGAGATGCAGCAGGACTGAAGCTGAGGCGGGATGGAGGTGGGCACACTGAGATCCAGCCCTTATAGCAAGTTTCTGGTTGGTTTCTGCGTTTGCTTTCCCACCAGCATCAGTGCAAAGGGCTGGGAATGCTCCCCTGAGAGGTGGAGCTGGCAGAGCTTGCTGGGAAAGAGAGGCTGGGAGGCACTGAGGAAGGAGGGTGCTGGTCTTCAGTCCTGGCATAGAGCATCCGGGCTGGATGGAACGTGCACAAAGCCTGGGGGGGGGGGGTGTGAATAAGGAGTAGGTACATCTCAGATCTTAGTTGCTTTATCTTGGTGCTTTGTTTCCTATGTTCCTCTCGGTGCAGCAGCATCCGCTTGCTCTGGGCAGGCTGGTCCTGAGTGGTTTTAATCTGTTGGTGGGCACAGGCTTCAAGAAGGAGAAGTCCTTTTGAAACCTTGGATGTCACAGATTTTCTGGAGCACAGGATGGATGCCCAATGCCTCTGGTGCCTTCAGGAGCAGCTCTGGCTCTGCCTGTGGTCATGGTTCCCCTCCGAGAAGCACGTCTTAAGTCACAGGGGCTCTTTAATCTGTGCTGAGCTGGTCTTGCTTGATCTTGCCTATGCCTCAGTGTGCCACATCTGTGTCATACAGGGAGGAGAGGAGGCCAGGGGCTGAGAGGGTCAGGGGACCTGGCTCTGGGGATACTGGGACTTCGGTTGTTGATGGGGAGGAGGGATTACTGGGGCAGGCACAGATGTGCACTGTAGATGCACATGCTGCCTCGCTGGGGGGTGTTGGGCAGGGATGCAGCCCTTTTTCATCACATCCCCATGCTGTGGGAAGGAGACAAAAGGAAGGACATGGGCGAGCACGGAGGGAGCAGGGTGGTGTCAGCCAGTGCATGAGAGGAGGCTGCCTGTCTGCTGAGGAACAGGCCCCAGGCAAAGTGTATGGATGAGGCAAGGCAGCTGCCACCCCTCTGCCTGGGGGGAAGCTCTGCCTCTCCTAACCACAGCCAGATGGTTTGGGGCCAGGAGCTGGTGTTTTCTCCCATGGGGAGGGTGTTTTTGCTGGCTGGACCGTTGTGGCCGCCACGGGCTGATGCTTGTTGTTATGACAACAGGAGGAGGCTGCTGTGTGTGAGGAGGAAAGGAAGGAAAAGGGATGGTGGTGGAGAAGGTCTTAGCCAGCAAGGGGTCAGGCAAAGGTAAGGGGTTAGCATGCACAGTGCAGGGATGGAGGACACCCTGCAGCCATCATGGGACACCAGGAAGGGTTTTATTTGTGCCTTCTCCCATGGCTCATGGTACTTCTGTTGTACACAAGAAGGGTGTGGGCATGCCTGTGATGCTGTGTGCCAGCAGCCTAACCCCCCCCAGCATCATTGATATGAATGGTGGGACCTGTGCAGTGGCCAGAAACTGGGAAAATAATGCCTGATATAACAGAGTGTGCTGATGGTTGCAGCAGATCACTCCTGGGGAGCATTGGCAGGCGAAGCATGACTTCATCTGCTCACAGACAGCTCTTGGATGCTTAGCAAGACAAATAAAATATCACCTCATGCTAAATGTTGTGTCCCGCTGGAGTCCCCTCCCAGCCTCTCCTGCCCCAAACGGGGTCAGCACAAGATGCAGGATGCCCTTGGGTTAAGTGCACAGAGTCAGCCTGTGCTTCTTGTTTTGAACAGGTGCCTCATAACATGCACTCATTTGTACAGCCACAGCGCCTGCACCCAGATGATGAAGTGAAAACCTTGGCTCCCCACAATAGAAAGATGCAAACAACTGCGTCCTCCTGGTTGTGGTGGAAAACTCAGAACTGTGGCCCCCTTTTCGTTTGCCAAGAAGGATTAACACCCATGAAGGATTCATGACACTGCCACTGCCTTCCTGTGAGACCTGGTCACATCCCTTAGGAATGTGGGCCTGGCTGTTCTAAAGGGAGCATGAGCAAGACCAGACCAGATAAAGGCCAGAATAACCTGGTCTGACCTCCTAAACTGGCCCTGCTCTCAACTCCCTTTCAACCTCAATTATCCTATAGTCCTAAGTATGTCCATC